ACTGAATCCCTGATGAACAGAGCAGTTGCCAGCACTCAATAGCTGCTCAGTATTTGTCAAATGAATATTTGGGAAAGCCTGATTTAAATGCTTCATACAGCTGATTCTGAAACAGACTTTTTCTTTCCCCCTTTTTTGTGACCAGTAAGGGGATCGCAACCCTTGGCTTGGTGTCGCCCGCACCACGCTCAGCCAGTGAGCGCACCGGCCATTCCTATATAGGATCCGACCCCGTGGCAGGAGCATCACTGTGCTCCCAGCGCCGCACTCTCCCGAGCGCGCCACTGGGTCAGCCCTGAGACAGACTTTTGAAGCAAGCGCAATTATTCCACAATCACAGATGAAGCCACTACATCTCAGAGAATTAAAGGACTTGCTGAAGGTCTTTACAAAGGGACTGAGCTGGAATCCAAATCCAGGGTGTCTAATTTCCAAACTCATATTCCTGCCATTTATACCATGCCACCAGAGACAGCAAACACGTCATAAGAAGAAACCATATTTGAAATCATATTAAAGCAATCCAATTGGGTCTGAAATTACAGTTTTAACTTCTGAGCTCCACCAATTTGCTGAACTAACAATTTAATAATCAGTCATTTTATTTGTGACTCAATCTATTGCATAAGCAGGCAATTATATGATGTATAATCAATGTTTTATGTAATAGTTCTATGATTTCACTGACCATTTTCACTAGCCAACCCTTTATTAAAGACAAATGATGAGTTATAGCATATTTAAGGAGCACATTTTAACTTAAACTAGTTTAAGAATATTACTGTACAAAGTAGGAGTTAAAACATTGGAGTAATAGTAACTCCATTTTTACCCTGGAAATGATAATGCATATACTCTCTGCACCAAGCAAAACTGGATTTGGTGGGTCACAGTCAATGACAACACAGTCTGATGTTTCAAATCAGTGGAGGCACTTCAGGGTTATCTTCAAAGTCTGGATCTTCCTCACTTGGTATAATTTTGGGTTCATATCCCAACCTTCTGGGTGCGTGGTTTTTCTCTCGGACTATGTTAGTCACATCAGGGAACGAATGCTTGCTAGGATCTACTTCTAGTTTCTCGATTTGCTTGCTTCTACAACAAAAAGCAAAGGGGAATTGATGTTACATCATTTAACACTGTGTTTCAGATAGATTCATTCATTAATTCAGCAAATATTATCAAGTGCTATCCCTGGAGCATATAGATAAAAATAAGAGCTCATTCCTGGCTTCAAGCAGCTTAGAACCTTGTAGGAGCAAGATTTTGGCCCGTGGAGAAATAAAGTGCCAAAAAGTGTTACGGGGCTGTGCTAACGCACAGGCAGTTGGAGGAGAGGTCACCTGGGAGACTCGGCTTACTAAGAGTTTTTTTGATACTTACATTGGTATAACAGGCAAAGCTCCACAGCCAGGATCAATAATAGAATCACTCTAGGTAGGTCTTATTCCTGAATACAGCTAATCAGATTTTGAACCCTGCTGCTTCAGACAAACCAACCTGTCATGGTTTAGCAGTGGCATTTATACTACAAATTCCAAAGGCTCCCTCCCACAAGAACTTCCCCTCCCACAAGAACCTGTTCCTACTGCCCACACGGAGTTCTCTCAGCAACAGCAAGAATAAAACAAAACAAGGAAGAATCTCCATTGGCCAATGATTTCCAGTATCTTGTTCATACAGAAAACTCTGTAGATAATGCAGGTCTCTGTACTGCTTTCCTGGAAATTTTGATTCAATTGGTCTGGAGTTAGGCCTAGTAATTTGTATGTTTATTAAAGTTTCCCTAGTAATTTTGATAATCAGTGAAACTATTTTAGAATTCCAGCACCATTCATTCATTCAACAGATACATATGAAGTGCCTACTATATTCTAGGTTCTATAGTAGGCACCATGGATTCCACGGTCTGTACAAATAGACAAGATTCCTGGTAACATTTAACAGTGCGCTGTAGTGCTCTAACAAAGAATTTATTATACGGTCATGTCATTGTGTCATTATTGGTCTGTTCTGCTATAAAACTGACATCTTTGAGGCAAAAATTTTGTCTTTCACATCTTGTACTCTTGGCACAAACCGATACCAAATAAATACTTGTTGAATAAGTGAAAAAAAATATTATTGTTCTATTGGGAAAATACTGAAATTACGTAAGAAATTATTTCTGACCCAAAGAAAATCACGGCCAGTCTAATCCAGGAGCCACAAACTGATGTCCTTGGACTACTAAATTTATCCAGCACACACCTTTTCTTGGGAGAGAAAGGTTCAATCTTTTTTTGAAAGTGTGAACTCTCCATTGTCCTTGCAACCCTCCCTCCCATTTCTGTACCCTGCTCAGCCCTTGAAAACATTTGATTTTTCAATTCCTCTTAGACTAATACATAAGGAACTGATAAAGAAAAATACAAAGTCTACAAAGAATATAGAATAGTATATCTTGAAGACCCAGATTATACACTATAAACTATGTATGCCACAGGAGGAAGACGAAATCAAAAGGGGCTTGTGCATTTTCCAAAGAGGTGAAACAGGTGGGGATCCGAAGATGCTCTGAAGGATGATAAATGATGTGGATGAGCAGAGAAGGGAAACCAATGCTCTAGATAAATGAATGGTGCTGTGGCCATGACCTGAACACACTTCCTCTGGGATGCCTCTGTGCCATGGTATTCAGACCCCTTTGCATTTAAAAGGACAGAGTCGTGGCTTCAGCTAGGATGTTGCCAGTCATCGATGCACAGGAAATAACAGCTGTGGATGACTGCGCAGAAAAGCATGAACATAGCAGGCCAGAGATGACTATCTTTAGAAAGTCCTGACTGTAAGGTCAAGCACTGGCTGGTAAACAGTTCCCTACACCGACATGAAACTTTCCCTAAACAGTGAGTGTGGCCCACTTTGGCTGGCAATATATGCAGGCAACATGGTTCATGCTCTCTTTCTGGGAGCACAGAGCTTTGGTAAATGTTAGGCATAAGGTGCCTACCAGCCCCCAGTAAAACCCCTGAGCACAGAGTCTCTAATGAGCTTCCCTGATGAACATTTCATGCATGTTGTGGCAACTCATCGCTGGAGGAATTAGGTGTGTCCTGTGGTCCCACAGGGAGAGAACTTAGAAGCTTGCACCTGGTTTTCTCTGGACTTTGCACTTTGATGATTTTGCTTTGTGTCTTTTTGCCATAATAAGTCTTAGCCCTGAGTACTACCATATGCTGAGTCCTGTGAGTGCTTCTAATGAGTCATTGAACCTGGAGTCATTCTGGGGACTCCTGAAACACTGCCCTTTTCTGAGTCCTATGCTAAGCTTTTTGTGTCATTAAATCCTTTGACAATCCTGCTATCACCTCCTTCTGACACGGGGAGGACAAGAGCAGTCAGCCAAGGTCCCACAGATAAACAGGCAGGGCTGGGCGCTGAAGCAAGGTCTGTGGTATTAACACTACACACAGTTACTTGTAGAATAATTAGGGACCACACAGCACAAATAGTGGATTTTCTATCCTTAGCATTTGGCACATAAGATTTTATCCCTCAGAAAAGTCCTCTAAGTCAGTACTAATTCTAAAACCAATTGTGTCATAGCAACAGTAAACCCATTACCTGCTAGGCCTTCTTTCACCTCACTTCTAGTTAATCCAGAGACAAAGTCTGTTTCATCTGTTACTGGAAGGCAGGAGGCAGTAGAGTGACCAGGTTAGCTTGCAAGACCCTGGTTCCACTGAGCTGAGTGCTCTTGGATGAGTTACTCAGCCGCTCTGTGGCTCTATGACCTCATCTTTAAAATCAGGATGATGACAATAAATATAGGGCTGTGGACAATATCAAATAAGTCCACAGGTATAGAGGACAACGAGCAGTGCCAGAAACTTAGTGAGCACTCAGTGAACGTTCAGTGCTACAAGAGTAGCCTACGTCCGTATGCAGTAGTGTATGAGCAAGATTCAATTCGGCGTGCTTGTCGGTACACATCCTTTAGGCGTCCAGTGCTATAACCAGTGCTAGGAATTTAAAGATGAGTGAGACATGGCTTGTGTCTACAATCAAATGAGAAGGACACACACATACTTGGCTGTCATGCAGCATTATGGCAGGGGCTCTGCAAGTGGGATAAACAAATCATGTTGAAGCACAGAGGAGGAAACGATCACCAAGGCCTGGAAAGAATTAGGAAAGGAATCATATGGGAAAGGAATGTGGCACCTGGCACTGAGGGAGGATAGGATTTTGCTAGATTTTGAAGGGGAAGAACACTCCAGAGAGGTAACACAGACAAAAGGTAAGACAACATTTGCACTGCTCCCTCTTAGCTTGATATCTCCAGAGAATGAGGAACCTGCGACAAGGGGCAGGGAGTAGGAGCGTTGGGCCCAGGATGGCCACGGTAGGGCCTCAGACACTGAGGACAAGATGACGGATGGGTTGGGTTGACACGTTGAGGAGGCTGCCTGGAGAAATATGTTTGACTCAAGTGCTGAAAGTCTTTGGATACATGGCAAGTGTTAACGCCCCAACTCTTGGGCACTGGGCCACCTCACCCCACCATATTTTTCTTTTCATATTGGGGATACCCAAGCACTAGGTGTGTGTTTATTTTTTGGAAAGTTATAGCCAGTAATTTTTTTAAAGAATAATGTGTAACCACCTATTAATTATATTGAGAGTCACATAAATTTAGTCAGAAAACAGAACACTGATACCATTCTCTGTTATTACCCTGCTTTCCAAATTTCACATTTCTCTTTAATTGCTAATTGTCACAGACAAGATTATTTACTTTCTCTCCTTTAGCTGTTCACAATTCATGTGCCCATTCATTCAACAATTGTCTCCTGAGTAGTTACTATGTGCCCAGATTTGTTTGGGTCCTGGAGACTGAAAAGATCTCTTCCCATCCTTAGTACATTCACACTAAGTATATCAAGTGATATTATAGGTATTAGCAACAGGAGCTATTACAATAACAGTAATTATTGTTTTTAAAGTAGCCTTATGATCTGTGCCCAAGTGAGACAGTCTGACTGACCAAATTGCCCAGCTGCCCTGAGCTAAAAGGGAGGTGCTGCTGCTTCTGCTGACCTCACTGTGCAGGAGCAGCCTTCTGGAAGCTACGCCAGCCCTGAGCCTGCCCCACAGAGGAGTGTGAAGCTACAGCTGAAGGCCAGGCTCAGGATTGTGGCAAGTGAAGATATTTCACTTAATATGTCGTCATCTTAATAACTTTTTAAACCTTTTTACTGAGTGCAGTACAGGTACAGAAAAGTGCCCAAATCACAAGCGTCAAGCTGTCATGAACTGAACACCCTGTGGATTAAGAAACGGAAAGCTGTGAGCACTCTAGGAGCCCCCAGACCCTGAGTGCCCCTCCCAGTCACGATGTCCTACCCCACACCTGGAATCACTATGCTGATTTCCAACAGCTTAGGTTTTACTTGGTAATTTTAAAGCTGAAAAAGCTTGTAGACCCTTCTGTTCACCTCCCCAGCAGCTACTGACCTGCATCTTCTCTGACTTCAGGCCCTGGCAGAAACCCCCTGATCACAGGGAAGGAGGGTGTAAGAAAAATAAAGTAAATGGTCAGGCTCCCTCAGTTGTTGGGAATCTTCCCAAGCATGATCTATCCTGCTTGATGCAGATACAATAACTGTCCACATGCACCCAGGTGTTCCTTGTCTATTGTCTGATGTAATTGGCAAGTGCACCCAGGTGTTCCTGGGTTATCTGACTTAAGTATAAAGGACAAATGACTCTGATCCACAGTGGACCTGGAGATGGCCCCTTCCCCAACCCCCTAGGAGGCCATGGCTGCTGCTGCTGGACCTGCTGCCGAGGTGGCAGGGGCTGAGCTCACATCCTAGTAAAGCATGTCAACTTTGCCAATGGCTCGCAGGATCTTTTCCAATTGCCTAGCTTGCAGACTGAATATTAAGGGTCTGTGACCCCATCTGCATGATGGGTTTGAAGGGTCTGCGATCCCTAGCCCGATAGAGGGCTTTCAGCATAGAAGTGGAGAGTCATAAATGACCCAAACCCCCCCGGGCAACTCCACCCCAACACTCGTGCTTGGGGATGCATGGCTGCCCACCAGCAGC